AATTATATAGAACAAAGTCAGGACACAAGGGAGAGGGCTGATCTTTACTCCAAGGGAAGGGAAGACTTTAGAAAGGGTCTTCAGTGAGGGCTTGGCTTTGAACTGGGCCTCCAGGCAGCACAGATATTGAGTGGGGCAGGAACCCTATCAGAAGGAGCCCTATCAAGCCACATCCAAAGGGCTGAAATAACATGAGCTCTGGGGACAGAACAGATGGGCTGAGCTGGACTCAGTTACCACCACTTGGTGGTGCAGACAGGTGAGGACTCTCAGAGGTGCTATAATTCACCCCAGTGTGTCTTTGCTTAGATATCACTTTTCCCACCCCTCCACAAGCTCTCATCCCCAAATGACAAAATCTTAAGGCCAGTTACATGTCTTCCTATGAAGTTTTACCTGGCTCTTCGGCTCAACATACTGTGCTCTGTCTCATGGACTCCCCAGGCTGCCTAATCAGTACAGGCCCTGTTTCAGAGCATGCAGTCCTGTATATTGTCCTCACTGATGCCTGTGTCATACTCCACTATCTATACTGCGAGCTAAGCTCATTGTAAGCAGGATGTTTGTCTGATCCATCTTCTTACCCTTCTCAGTGACCTGTGTATATTTGGGCCCAGTGCATTAGTTTTATGGCCAATAGCAACTATATGCATCCCAGCCACATCTTACCTCTGTCTTCCACTGGTGGAGAAGTTTCTCAAGGAACTGTACTAAATATGATTCAGCTTTCTGTCCAAGATATCAGCTGAGGACTGACTGTGCCTGGCACAACCTAAGTATATAGTAAATGTTGAATTCAATGGCTGAAGGGAACTCCATTAATCATTTACTATTTATTATATCTGGAACAATTTGAACATTAAACTTTTGGATAAAGCAGGTGAGCCTATAAGCGGCTGCAGAGATGTAGGAGGAAATCCATGAGAATGTGGTATCATAGGGGAAGGAACAGTTAACATGGAGAGAGGGTCAACAGTTAACATGGAGAGAAGAAAACAACTGGCTTAGCAGCATGGAGGACTTCGAAGAGCTGCCTCACTTCTTTTCAGTGCTGTGCTTTGAACCCAGTGCCTTTTCACTGAGCTACATCCCCGTCCTTTCTTTGAGACAGGGTCTCACTAAGTTCTTAAGTTCCCCAGGGTGGGCTGGAACTTGCAATCCTCCTACCTCAGCCTTCTAGAGGGCTGGAATTATAGGTATTCACCACCATGCCCAGCTGCGAGCTGTTTTTATTTAGGAGGAAAGGAGCAGAAGTGTGACTGAAGTGTATTGAACAATGAATGGGAGATGTAGATGTAGAGAAAAAAGTATTGATAATTTTTGAAGAACTTTACCAAGAGGAGAATAATAGGGAGGCAAACAGATGTGGAAGTGGAGTCCAGAGAGGATTTTCTTTTAAAGTGGAAATGTACATGTATATGTTTAAAAACTTAGAGAAAAAGACATTTCTAAGAGAAATGTAAAACACTGCATAAAAACTAAAATTTTTTGAAGTAAATAATTTAATTATGTAAGATTAATTATTTTTGCGTGATAAAAGCAAGTGAAACATTTGGAAAGAGTATTTATATCACCCATCACAGATGCAATAAATAATTTGGACTATCGTAAATCAAGATGCAAAAATGTATTTTAACTGTTTTTTCAGTCCTCCTTTCTGTTTGTAGCAGAAGAGGATCACATTTAAAAAAATCAAAAGCATTAAAATATCACCTTAATGTGATATCTTAGTCACTTTCTTCATCACTGAGACACAATACCTGACACCCACAACTCTAAGGAAGAAAAGTTAAGTTTTGGCTCACAGTTTTTAGAGGGTTCAGTCCATAGTCTGCTGGCTCCAAGACAGGGCAGCATGGCAGAGGGGCATCTCAGAGGAGAAACTGGTCTTATGGCAGCTAGGAACCAGGTAAAGTGAGGGAGGATCTGGGGAAGGAGACAAACTCTCAAGTCTCTTCTCACAGACCACACTTCCTAAGAGCAAGTCAACAATAAACTCCTACAATGCAGTCATCTACAATCCCTGCCTGTGAGCACATGAGGCAAGGTGACATTTTAGATCTAAACTGTAACATTCTGCACCTGGCCCCCAAAAGACTCACATGCATCTCTTTATGCAAAATGCCTTTAGTCCATCTCTAAGAGTTGCCTGAGTTTTAACAGTTCCAGCATTGCTGAAAAGTCCAAGTCCAAAGTCTCCTCTGAGACTCAAGGCAAATGCTTAGCTGTGAGTCCCTGTAAAAAATCAAAAGAAAGCTAAACAATGTCAACATACGAAGGCACAGGTTAAATATTCCCATTCTGAAAAGGAGGCATAGAGGGATAGAAACCAATAGGACCAAAGCAAGAATGAAGCCCAGCATGGCAAACATTAAATCTTCTATTTCTGTGTCCAGCTCCTGGGGCAAGGTGTGGCCTGATGTAAGATTTAAACAGCGTGGCTGGCTCTGTTCATGTGACCCTGCTGTTGGTTGCAGTCCTCATAGTTTATCTCTTGTTCTGGCTCTACTCATTCCTTCCTTTCCTCAGAGGTGCCAAGCTCCTGGCTTCCCCAGATTCCTGGAGTCTCCACTGCATGATCACCTTCACACAATGCCCTCTCAGGGGCACACTGCCCAGCCTCCAGGGCTTCTTCTGAAATCTGTGTGGAAACCTTCCCGACTGCACACTCTTGCATTCTGCATGCACCTAAAACTAGCACCATGTGGATGACACCAAGGACTGCCACAAGCTCCAGAACTAAGTAGGTCCTTTTACATCATGGGTGCAGGGGCCCCAGAGGGCCTGGATGGCTGAGCATGGTGAAGTGGATCCCAGGGAATCAGTTCTCTTTCTGGAGCAAGGTGTCCCAGGTTTCTCTTCTCAAAAGAAAGTTTTACAGCCTTATTTCTTTGAGCCTGTGATGAATGGGAGTTTTGCTGATTTCTTACATGCCCTCAAGCCATTTTTCCTATTGTCCTGATCCAAAGTACTTAGCTGCTGCTGCTTCTGCTTCCTCTTCTTCTTCCTCTTCTTCTTCTTCTCCTCCTCCTCCTCCTCCTCCTCTTCCTCCTCCTCCTCCTTCCTCTTCTTCTTTTTTGGTACCAGGGATCGAACTTGTGACCTTGTGCTTGTGAGGCAGGCCAGGCGGCAGAACCACTGAACTAAATCTCTAGCAACTTAGCTTCTTTTTAATGTTAATCCTTTCCTCAACTAAGTTTTCCTCTCTTCTCCTCCATTTTAGTAGATGATTTCTTTCTGATAAAACTGAAAACTTTCAAAATAGGCTTTTAGCTCTTGATTTTCCATATAAACCTGGCTAAAAGCCCCAACACTATCCATGCCACAGCCCCTACATTAGGCTGCTTTGAAATCTCCTCCACCAGATTAGTCTACTGTTCTTAGTCTCCCACAGTGCCTCAGGACAGGACCAAAATGTAGACAAGTTTTCTGTCACAGCATAATACACACTGCCTGCTGTCCAACTGCCAGTGAAGTCCTCGTTTCCAACTGAAACCTGAGCTTGGTCTTTTCCATCTACTTTTTTACCATCCTTTTGGTCTGCTGAGCTCTGACCAGACTTTCCTGCAGAGCTCACTTCACAGCATTCTAGGGCTTCTCTAAACTTTTCCGAACTCCTCCCATAAACCAGTTCCACAGGCTTCTGAACCACACGGTCAGTTAGCATCACAGCAGCAACCCCACTTCTCTGTTACCAAAATCTGTCTCAGTCACTTCCCTTGTTGCTGAGACACTCCCTGACACCCACAATTTAAAGGAGAGATTTATTTTCATGCACAGTTTGTGAAGGTTTCAGTCCATAGTTGGCTGGCTCTAAAGCAGGGCAACATGGCAGAGGAAAAGATACTCACATCATGGCGGCTAGGAAGTAGGTAAAGTGAAGGGAGGATCTGGGAGGGAGATAAACCCTTCCGGGCCTCGCCCCCAGTGACCTACCTCTTCCCACCAGACCTCACCTGCTAATAGCAAGTCAGCTACAGCCCACCTTATGAGCACCCAAACCATTTTAGATCTAAACCATTAAAACATGAGTTAGTTGTTTTTAATTAAAGACCCAGAACATATGTTCTGTTGTCATCCTTCTCTGTGCTCTCCTTGAATTCTGCACAAACGTCTGTTGGTCAATACAACAGTGCACACCTGTGTCTCCAACGGCACCTTGAGTTACTGGCAGCTGGGACATTCTCAGGGTGCAGCTATGCCACTGTCCATGCTAATCCGCTGACTGTTGTTGACTAATGGGATGTGAGGACAATTTCTGCAATTGTCACATTCCTAGAAGACCATTTTCAATCCCCAGCAGGCTCTGTGGATTTGTTATTCAGATCCAAGTATACCTGCTCTGATTTTTGGCACTATCAATTACTTTTTGCCTACTTTTGAGCTCCACATAAAGTCAGCCATACAATGAATTATACAGCTGCATCCTTTTGCGTCTGATTTCTTTTATTCAACGTTGTTTGTGAGATTTAAACACGTTGATGTATGTGTGAGTAGTTTTTTCACTGTTTTGTAGTACGTTCTGGCATGAGTAATGATTACAGTCCCCCGGTACTGGGGACTGAATCCAGGCCCTTAGCACTGAGCTTCACCCCAATCACTTTTTCCTTTTCCTTTCTTTTTTAAATGTTGAAACGGGGTGTTGCCAAGTCAGTAACTTGCCCAGGCTGGGCTCGAACTTGGGCTGCCTCAGCCTTCCACAGCGCAGGGATGACAGGGCGCACCAGCGCGTCCCGCGTAGAGTTTTAGTAAGCCGCTCTTTGCTTTTGAGAGAAAACGCCTCTCCTAAATCTAGGATGTGACTTAGCCCAGGGTTTGTTCGGCTCTGTAGTATTTTCCCTTTCCATTGTAAGTCTCTCCCTCTCGGAGAAAACATGGCTTTACAACGCCGCGCGGAGAGTCACGCGGACTCAGCGGAGGCCTCCCTGGGCGGGGCGAGGCGGGGAGCCGGCCCGGGCTGCGTCCGGCCTGACGCGGCCCTGCCCCGCCCGTCCCCGCAGTGAGATGAGCCAGAAGGGGGCCAAGGAGGGCCCGCGCCTGTCCAAGAACCAGCGGCTGTCGGAGCACTTCATCATCCGCTGCTGCCCGCCCTTCACCTTCCTCAACTCCAAGCGCGAGCTGGTGGACCGCAGGTACAGCCTGTGCCGCAGCGGCTGCTTCTACGAGCGCCAGGAGGAGGACTGGGTGTGCTGCGCCTGCCAGCGCGCCAGGTGGGTGCCGCCCGCGGGCGGGTGGGGCCGGGCGGGGCCGGGCGGGCCGCGGAGAGGACAGCTTCTCTCGGCCCCACCAGCCGCCGCGCCAAGTCCCCTGCGAGGCCCAAGCCGCCGCCCGCCGAGCCGCGGCCCCCGGCGAGGTCCCCGCCGCCCGCCAAGCCGCGGTCCCCTGCGAGGTCCCCGCCACCCGCCAAGCCGCGGCCCCGCGCAGAGCTCCGCCCGCCGCCCGCCAAGCCGCGGCCCGCCCAGGCCAAGGCGCCGCCCCGCGGGGCCGCTAGGTTCCGGTAGCCTCGCCCTCCCGCCCAGGTTAGTAGCGGGGTGCGCGGGGTGGGCGCTGGCAGGCCTCCGGGCCCTAGCGGGGAGCTGGGCCGGGCGCGCAGGTGGAAGGGAGGTGCAGACGCGCAGTCAGGCCCCTGCCCGGGTGGGAGTGGACAAGAGAAGAGCTCGGGCGGGCGGAGAAGCTGCTTTCAGAGCCCGAGAGCCGCGCTGGAGCCTGCAGGGTGGAGCACCCTATCCGGGACAGGGCAACCCCTTTCGGGGGTGGGGGGTCTGTCCCGGAATGGACCTCTGAGGAGCTGTCACGGTGCCCAAACCCGCGGGGTGGAGATCGAGGCACAGTGTACAGGAGTTGTAACTAATTATGGTGGGCTTGGGTCAGTCTGGGGTGTTCAGGATGTCCTCGGGCAGGCATCCCCAGGCACCGTTAGTGTTAGGTGAGGGTGCTTTGCAGAGAGCTCATGGTGGTCCCCTGAAGCCTACAGTGCAGCACCCTCTTGCTTTTCCCAGCACTGGTCCAGCTGTTAGGACAGGGTGCTGTCTGTGCTGTTTGGAGAGCCAGCTTCCTCTTTTTCCCTCTGCCCTTCAGACCTCCTCCATCCAGGAATTTCTCACTCTCTGCCTCAACTACCTCCTGAGAGACGTGCTTCCCATCATTCCTATGGGTTGCTGAAGGCTGACCAGGTCGATTCTTCTAGAACTGCTTCCTGCTGAGGATGGCATAGCCCCTACCTGTATGAGAATCCAGAATTCTCAGCTTATCTGATCCAGGAGCTGGCAGGAGGCCTTGGGCACTTGGGGCTGGGTTCTGGAAGAATGGGCTGGATCCTTGGGTGATTATCAGCCTGATATATAGCTGCTGAGTCTTGGAAGACAAGAGAGAAGTTATGACATTAAGCACGGGCCAAGAATCAAGAAGAGAATTGTAGCAGTCAAGGGCCAAGTGAGGAAGGCTAGCCATGAGAACCAGAACCAGACATTTATTTTTCACCTGGACCAATGTAGAGATCATTGTTGACCCTATGTTGGTAGTTATCATAGTTTTCTCTAGCCTTTTGGATTATGGAATCCAAGCCAAGACCACTCCAGACTCATTTACTTAAAACACAAAAACAAACAAAGAAAAATCCAGTCATCTTTAAGCATTGCATAGGTTCCCTCTGATCAGCTGCAAGTAGGTCTAGAGCCCAGCTGGTCAAGGCGTACATTGGAGAAGGCTGGCCCGGATAGCAGGATAGTCTTGTAAAACTGCGTGAATATCTGGATCCAATGTTAAATTCTGTGGTAGCCACTTACCTGCATACAAAAGTGGCATTGACCACTGTCCCATCTCAGAGATCTTCAGCTGTTGGCATGAGCCTTCTGTGTGGCTGGCCAGGATTAGAACAGAGAGGGACTGTGGAGCTATAGGGAGGTAGGGGTACAAGGAGTTGTAGTTCGGCCTTTTGAGAGGAAGTCAGGCTTGATCCTAGAGAGGTGACTTTGTTCCCATGTGATTGTGCGTGGCCCAAGTTAATATGATGCTTTAGCCTTGTGGTCTGAATCACTACCGTATTCAGAAGATAGAAAAGACCTTCCATACCGAATTTCAAAAGGACCCATATTTAGACTGGTTTTGGGGTGTTTCAAATTCTCATGAGGGCTCCTGACAATAATCAGAGCCAGGACCCGGAAGTCTCTTGGTAAAGTTTTGCCAGAATCCATTTTAGGGTCTGGATGGCCCTTTGACCTTTCCAGAAGACTGAGGTCTCCATGTAGAATGGAGGTGGTACTTTGTTCCTAAAGCCTTTGCTATCCCCTAAGTTATTTGAGAGGTAAAAGAAGGCCCATTGTTATTCTGAAGGGACTGAGGTAGTCAAACCAAGGGATGATCTCTCTTTTTTTTTGTATCGGGAATTGAACTCAGGACCTTGTGCTTGTGAGGCAGGCACGGTGCCACTGAGCTACATCCCTGGCCGCAAGGGATGAACTCTTTGAGGAGCACCTTGCCTGCCTCTGTAGCCTTTTCTGAACACATAGGGAAGGCCTCAGTCCAACTTGTGACAGTGTCAGTTAGGTCCGATATTTGTTTAACTCCCCCACGTGGTGGCATGAGCGTAAAGTCTAATTGCTAGTCCTCTTCAAGGTATGTTCCTCCCTTCTGTACCGGTTCTAACAAAGGAGGCAGTTCGGGCTTGCCAGGGTTATTGTGGGAATAAACTGGGCGAGCTTTGCAGCTCTATCAGGTAGTTGTCACTAGTCCTGGTCCTGTAAAATTCAAGTGGCCATTGGACATGTAGGGTCCCTTTCCAGATGGACAGAATCATGAGAGGGTTTTGTAGCCTTCCATCATGTCCCTTGAGGAAGGGCTAATTTGTCTTCCAAATACCGCCATGGACACCATTTAGCTCTTTGTTTCTTCAAGTCCTTGGTGCCCAAGCAGAAGGGTGGAGGCTATTCCTAAAGCTCTGTGGAAGAACTATTCAAGTAGATTGTCTTTCTTTCAAGATGGGATTTTTTTTCATTCAAAAGAATACAGGGATTGGGAGTCTGGGTAAAGAAGAATAAGAAAGAAACCGTCCTTGGGCTTCAAGATGGAAAACCAGCTTGTGTCTCCTGTAACTTGGGAAGGGATTGTATATGGATCTGCACTAATGGGTGGATTGGGATTACAGCCTCATTAACAAGGCAGAGGTCTTGTACCATCTGATATTCTCCTCAGAGTTTTACTATAGGGAGAATAGGGCATTGCAAGAAGAAAGACAAGGCGGCCGAAAGGCTATGTTTGAGAAACCTGTCCATGAGAGGCTGGAGGCCCTGACAGGCCTCTTCTTTGATAGAATGTTGTTTTCAGCTGGGAAATTGTCTGACGTCTTCAGTTTTATAACTACTGGTATTGCTGAATTTGCCTCCCAGTTATTCTATTGCACTACAGGGAGGTCTGGTATAGTCTCAACAGGTAAAATCCACATTGGCCTTTGCCAGAATTGAACAGTCTTCAATTTTAGTAGGAAGTTTCTTCCTAGTAAGGGAGTAGGACACCATGGGAAAATAAAAAACTCATAGTTGAATATTTGATTTTCAAATTGATATGTCAAAGCAGGAGTAAAGAAGCTTTGACTAGGACTCCCTTCAACCTCAATTATGGCTATAGATTTAGAGGTGGGTTTACCAGAGAAGGAAGTTAAAACAGTAAGTTGGCTTTGTTTCTAAAAGGAACTGAAATTGCTTACCCATATTGTCCAGGGTCACCTTGATCTCTTTGCAGGAGATGGAGATGTCTGTAGACAGGGGCATTGCAGATTCCCTGGGGCCCCTTCAGTCCTCTTCAGCAGAGTGAGAGGGGAGGGTTTTGGCTGGCCTAGCCCCTCTTTGGGGGCGAGGACATTTAATCCTCCAGTTTCATGAGTCAGGCACATTGGCCCCCTGACACATGGAGCAGGGCCTGGGCAGTGGCCTAGTGTAGTCATGTGCTCAGTGTCCAGTTTCTTTGCATTTAAGACAGGGACCCTTTCCTTGATTGGCTTTGAATTTTCCCTGGACAGTTTGGGTGTGCTTAAAGCACTGCCAATTGGAACACTCAGAATTCTGGTCTGCCTTTGTTCTGAGTTCCTCTCCTTTTTACCCTCTTCGAGTTTTTGACTATTGAACACTGAAAAGGTTGGGTCTAACAATTGGGTCAAAGAGGTTTAGGGACCCTTCTGAAGATTTTGTAATTTGTGGCAAACATCTGGGGCTGGCTGACTAATGAAATGTTGTCCCATTAGCGCCTGTCCCTCCTTGGAAGATGGACTTAAGTTTGTATATTAATGAAACCGTCTTCTAATTGGCTATGACAGCTGCATTTTCCTCTTTGCCCTGTGCAGTCTCTCTCACCTTTTCATAATTAACAGTTTTCTTAATACATCTTTTTATTCTCGCAATAAGAGCAGTCATCATTTTAGACCTCATGGCTAGTCCACCTGGAGTATTATAGTTCCAATTTGATTCTGTCAGGGGGGTCACTCTGTGGGATGATTTATTTCCTTTCCTATGGCCTATTGTTCATCTGCGTATCTCCTAGGTTTTTCTAGGATTCTTTGTTTTCCATCTGGAATACATACAGCAAATAGCCAGGACAAATTGGACATCTCAGCATGAGAGGTCAAAAGCAAGGAACAAAGTTTGAAACCCATCTGCAAACCTACTCCAGTCTTCTGAGAAGCAGCCTACATGTTCTTTGCCTTGTTGCGTATCTCCCACTGAAAAGAGAACCTGGACTCGAATAATCCTCTCTACTCCTGTAGAGAGGCAGGATGAGCCATGAGTTAGAAGAATAGGAAGCTCCACACTGAGAATGTCCTGTGGGGCCTATAGATGTCTGAGAGGCACAAGTAGGGGGCTGGAGAATATTGGGTCTCTCTGGGGAGCTCACTGGTGACAGAGTGTCTGAGCTGTGTGGGGAGGATGGGACTGGTGCCCGGGCCTGTGCACTGTGAGGAGGAGGGCAAGGAGACCTCCCAGTGTGGTTTCTTTCATCAGACAAGAGAAACAGACCCACGTCCCCATGAGAGACAGGTGGGGGTTCAAAGAGAGGCCCATTATTGCTATCAAGCTCCTGTACGGTGGCCTCTTTAAGGATTATATTTCTTGGGCCTTTGCAGGCGGATGGTTTTTGATAGACAGTCACAAATACCCGAACGCAAAGGATCTTAAAACACTTTCCTTGTCTTTTGAAAAAAGCTAATTGAAGAGCAGTATTAGACTTCAGACTGCCATTCCCTAACTAGTTCTCCCCACCTTGTGATTTATACTGGGGCAAATTCTATTGCAATAGAAGATACGTTGCTTAATTCTCAGAATGCCAGGGTCAAACTCTTTCCAGTTATTAAGGGTACAGCCTAATGGCCAAGTAGATGGGACCAGCAGGGTGTTTCCATGGTGCTTCGTGGGACCAGCGGAGAGGAGAGAGACTAGGCCTGGCATCTTCCCGAGGGCATCCCCACAAAACGACAGAGACCTGTTGAGCTCTGGGATGTCCCTCCAGAGGTCAGATTTCCTACCACATGCCT